ATATTATAAAGACGTGTTTATTTTATACAGGGTGTTTCGGTTTGTTTAAGTAAATAATAACGACAAAAAAACGTGATTGTGCGTGAATAAAATTATTCAAACGTGATTGTGCGTGAACGTGAGTAGTCTTAAATTATTACAGTCGTGAGTGGTCGTAAATCGTGAACAATCGTAAATCGGGAGTAGTCGTGAGCGGTAGTGAGCAGTCGTAAATCTTGAGCGGTCGTGAATCAAGAGTTTGGAACCTCCCATCATTAGTCGCTTAAGGGAGGAATATTTTTTTTCTAGATGGATGTTGAACCAGCTAACAAAAGTTAACAAAACCACAAGTTATCAGTTTTTGAAATACAGCGATTTTAAGAAAAATGCTTCAACTTTTATCTTAACAGAGTTTGAATCTATTACCGTTGAGAAGTTACCCATTTATGTATATAAAAAAGTAGCCTCCCTTTATGTCTACTCTACTAAAAAAGCTGGTTTAAGTTTTTATTTTGATTTTCTACTATATACTCAAAAAATGTGTTTTAAGTTTTTATTTTGTTTGTAAGTGAAAATAAATCGTTTTAAACTCTTAACAACAGTGGTTTATTATCATCTGTATCTACAATAGATTAAGAATATCAGTATCATTAATACCATAAAATTATTATTAACATTTAAAAAATCGTTGTATTGACTTAAGGGTAATTATTTTGATTTAAATCACAATTTTTGATTCAAATCATTTTATTGACTTAACTCTTAGATCACGATTTAAATAAAAAAATTATTATTTTAAATATAGACTTAAGTCATAAAAACGACTTACTAAAGGAATTAAGTCATAAGATGCCTTAAATCACTTTATATTGATTTAAGAATTTGCGAAAATGACTTGACTTGAAAGAAAATGATTTAATTCAAAGACTTAATACTTAAATCATTTGAACTTTATCTTGGAATTGACTTAAGATTTAAATCATTTTGATTTCAGAATTGACTTAAGACTTAAGATTTAAGTCTTTTTAAAACTGACTTGTTGCAGCTCTGTTTATTAATATACTACATATACATATTAATCAACAATTTGTCAAAAAAATAAAATATAAAATTCAATGTCTTACAACGGTTTGCGTGTGTGTGTTAAAAAAATAAATTAATTTCGAAATCAACAACAAAAAGGTAGTAGAAAAATCTTCATCTTGTTAATGTTTAAGGCACTGAGAACACAAGTTTCGTACGAGTTCCGCGAACTTGGCAACACTGTCACACCAAACTGGACGCTCCTATGCACTCGTTGTCTATCTGCCCCGACAAACTGGGCGAGTTGCCCTTGCTGCTGCCGTACACCTTGGTGGAGTACCCCGAATCGTTGTTCGTGTTTTTTTTATTTTTTCATTCTTTTATTTTTTCATTTTTTCATTCTTTCTTTCATTCTTTTTTTTTTCACTTTTTCATTATTTTATTCTTTCTTTCATTCTATAATTCTTTTATTCTTTAATTTTTTTCATTCATTCTTTTTTTCTTTCTTTCATTATATAATTCTTTTATTCTTTCATTCTTTTTTTTTTAATTTTTTAATTCTTTTATTTTTTAATTCTTTCCTTCTTTCTTTCTTTTATTTTTTCATTCTTTTTTTCTTTCATTTTTTTATTCCTTCATTCTCACGTTTTTAAGCTAAAATACATCAACTAAGCTCTAAAAAACCTACTAACCTTACATAATAAGGTAATTTTTTCATTTTCCCCATTTCCCAATTTTTATTATTTTATTCATTCATTCTTTCATTATATTATCATGCTAAACAAGTCCCTTAATAATAATAATAATAATAATAATAATAATAATAAGCTCTTTAAGGGGCATATAAGGGTGATATAAATGTTTCTGTAACCAAATTAATTAAAACAAAATTGTTCCTTGGGTTGCTTTCGGATAATAAAAAAGATCGTTTTAAATAAAATATTTGCTTTATTAATATACTACATATACATATTAATCAACAATTTGTCAAAAAAATAAAATATAAAATTCAATGTCTTACAACAGTTTGCGTGTGTGTGTTAAAAAATAAATTAATTTCGAAATCAACAACAAAAAGGTAGTAGAAAAATCTTCATCTTGTTAATGTTTAAGGCACTGAGAACACAAGTTTCGTACGAGTTCCGCGAACTTGGCAACACTGTCACACCAAACTGGACGCCCCTATGCACTCGTTGTCTATCTGCCCCGACAAACTGGGCGAGTTGCCCTTGCTGCTGCCGTACACCTTGGTGGAGTACCCCGAATCGTTGTTCGTGTTTTTTTTATTTTTTCATTCTTTTATTTTTTCATTTTTTCATTCTTTCTTTCATTCTTTTTTTTTCACTTTTTCATTATTTTATTCTTTCTTTCATTCTATAATTCTTTTATTCTTTAATTTTTTTCATTCATTCTTTTTTTCTTTCTTTCATTATATAATTCTTTTATTCTTTCATTCTTTTTTTTTTAATTTTTTAATTCTTTTATTTTTTAATTCTTTCCTTCTTTCTTTCTTTTATTTTTTCATTCTTTCTTTCATTATTTTGTTCTTTCCTTTTTTCATTCTTTTTTTCTTTCATTTTTTTATTCCTTCATTCTCACGTTTTTAAGCTAAAATACATCAACTAAGCTCTAAAAAACCTACTAACCTTACATAATAAGGTAATTTTTTCATTTTCCCCATTTCCCAATTTTTATTATTTTATTCATTCATTCTTTCATTATATTATCATGCTAAACAAGTCCCTTAATAATAATAATAATAATAATAATAAGCTCTTTAAGGGGCATATAAGGGTGATATAAATGTTTCTGTAACCAAATTAATTAAAACAAAATTGTTCCTTGGGTTGCTTTCGGATAATAAAAAAGATCGTTTTAAATAAAATATTTGCTTTATTAATATACTACATATACATATTAATCAACAATTTGTCAAAAAAATAAAATATAAAATTCAATGTCTTACAACAGTTTGCGTGTGTGTGTTAAAAAATAAATTAATTTCGAAATCAACAACAAAAAGGTAGTAGAAAAATCTTCATCTTGTTAATGTTTAAGGCACTGAGAACACAAGTTTCGTACGAGTTCCGCGAACTTGGCAACACTGTCACACCAAACTGGACGCCCCTATGCACTCGTTGTCTATCTGCCCCGACAAACTGGGCGAGTTGCCCTTGCTGCTGCCGTACACCTTGGTGGAGTACCCCGAATCGTTGTTCGTGTTTTTTTTATTTTTTCATTCTTTTATTTTTTCATTTTTTCATTCTTTCTTTCATTCTTTTTTTTTCACTTTTTCATTATTTTATTCTTTCTTTCATTCTATAATTCTTTTATTCTTTAATTTTTTTCATTCATTCTTTTTTTCTTTCTTTCATTATATAATTCTTTTATTCTTTCATTCTTTTTTTTTTAATTTTTTAATTCTTTTATTTTTTAATTCTTTCCTTCTTTCTTTCTTTTATTTTTTCATTCTTTCTTTCATTATTTTGTTCTTTCCTTTTTTCATTCTTTTTTTCTTTCATTTTTTTATTCCTTCATTCTCACGTTTTTAAGCTAAAATACATCAACTAAGCTCTAAAAAACCTACTAACCTTACATAATAAGGTAATTTTTTCATTTTCCCCATTTCCCAATTTTTATTATTTTATTCATTCATTCTTTCATTATATTATCATGCTAAACAAGTCCCTTAATAATAATAATAATAATAATAATAAGCTCTTTAAGGGGCATATAAGGGTGATATAAATGTTTCTGTAACCAAATTAATTAAAACAAAATTGTTCCTTGGGTTGCTTTCGGATAATAAAAAAGATCGTTTTAAATAAAATATTTGCTTTATTAATATACTACATATACATATTAATCAACAATTTGTCAAAAAAATAAAATATAAAATTCAATGTCTTACAACAGTTTGCGTGTGTGTGTTAAAAAATAAATTAATTTCGAAATCAACAACAAAAAGGTAGTAGAAAAATCTTCATCTTGTTAATGTTTAAGGCACTGAGAACACAAGTTTCGTACGAGTTCCGCGAACTTGGCAACACTGTCACACCAAACTGGACGCTCCTATGCACTCGTTGTCTATCTGCCCCGACAAACTGGGCGAGTTGCCCTTGCTGCTGCCGTACACCTTGGTGGAGTACCCCGAATCGTTGTTCGTGTTTTTTTTATTTTTTCATTCTTTTATTTTTTCATTTTTTCATTCTTTCTTTCATTCTTTTTTTTTTCACTTTTTCATTATTTTATTCTTTCTTTCATTCTATAATTCTTTTATTCTTTAATTTTTTTCATTCATTCTTTTTTTCTTTCTTTCATTATATAATTCTTTTATTCTTTCATTCTTTTTTTTTTAATTTTTTAATTCTTTTATTTTTTAATTCTTTCCTTCTTTCTTTCTTTTATTTTTTCATTCTTTCTTTCATTATTTTGTTCTTTCCTTTTTTCATTCTTTTTTTCTTTCATTTTTTTATTCCTTCATTCTCACGTTTTTAAGCTAAAATACATCAACTAAGCTCTAAAAAACCTACTAACCTTACATAATAAGGTAATTTTTTCATTTTCCCCATTTCCCAATTTTTATTATTTTATTCATTCATTCTTTCATTATATTATCATGCTAAACAAGTCCCTTAATAATAATAATAATAATAATAATAAGCTCTTTAAGGGGCATATAAGGGTGATATAAATGTTTCTGTAACCAAATTAATTAAAACAAAATTGTTCCTTGGGTTGCTTTCGGATAATAAAAAAGATCGTTTTAAATAAAATATTTGCTTTATTAATATACTACATATACATATTAATCAACAATTTGTCAAAAAAATAAAATATAAAATTCAATGTCTTACAACAGTTTGCGTGTGTGTGTTAAAAAATAAATTAATTTCGAAATCAACAACAAAAAGGTAGTAGAAAAATCTTCATCTTGTTAATGTTTTAGGCACTGAGAACACAAGTTTCGTAAGAGTTTCGCGAACTTGGCAACACTGTCACACCAAACTGGACGCGCCAATGCACTCGTTGTCTATCTGCCCCGACAAACTGGGCGAGTTGCCCTTGCTGCTGCCGTACACCTTGGTGGAGTACCCCGAATCGTTGTTCGTGTCCCTGTCGACGTGGTCGTTGTGGTTCTGGTCGTAGCGCGTCGTGTCGAGGCGTCGCGACGTCCCCTCGAGCGGCGTCTTCGCGTCGTGAGCCTTCGCGCCGTCGAGCAGCCGCAGCTTGGCCAGCCTTGCGTTCACGCCGTGGTCGTAGTAGGCCTGGGCGGGGGGCGGGATCTCCTGCGCGGCGTAGTACTGCAGCCGGAAGTCGCCTTCCGGCTGGTGGTAGCGGGTTTCCGGTGCCGCTTGGTGCTGGTAGCGCGGGTCCAGTTTGGCGCCCGAAGGGGCTGGGTGCATGTACTTGGTGTAAGTGTCGTTATACCTAAAGGAATACAAGTGGTTTTATTAGATAATATACCGTACCTTCATTTGCAAGCTATACATAGGGAAAATACATTGTAGGTGGACCAGACAAGTTGAAGTCAGCGCAAAGCGAAAAAGTTCTCAGAAATTATTTGGACGTAATAAAATTTTAATCGCCAGTAAACAAGGTCACCTGTTACGTCGCATGTTAGTCTACTCATCCACTCGTCAAAATAATTTCTGGGAACATTTTCGTTTCGCGCTGACCGCGCCGACTTCGACTTGTCTGTTCCACCTACAATGTATAGCTTGCAAGTGAAGTTACGGTAAGAACTAATACACACTGTAAGAACTAATGTCATAAAACGTCATTTTGTCGCACGCGGACAATTCATAATGGACGAGTGCGACAAAAGGTCTTATGACATGAGTTCTTTAAGCTATTTTATCTATTTCGCAAAAATTCTATACAACAATTTTACTTTAGATAGTTGGTATCACAGTCATTGGTTTGACAGTTAACGTCAAAATCGATTCGCCATGCCGTCCTTAATTTACTTATTTGCAATAAGCGGCTGTTAATGTTAAAGAAGAAAAAAAGGATTTTCTTTGGTGTTAAACAAAATTTATTGCCAGAAATGTCTCGTAAGTACTGGAAAAATCATTAAAATATTATAACCAATATGCAAAATATTATGCTGTTTAAAGTATAGCTAACCTATAAAATCAAAATTTTGGGTGGGAGAAAGTATCTCATTACAGCAACGAAAGCGCTGTTATAACGAAGTTATTTGAACTCAAAATAGATAAAAACTTTTATAAAACCTTTTGATTATTCTTTCCGCCTTCTTTTATTCCTTTTCCTTCTTTAATTCTATAATTCAAATCTTTAATTTTTTCATTCTTCCATTATTTAAATTTTTTAATATTTCACTCTTTCCATCTTTTATTCTTTCAACCTTTCTTTGTTTTATTCTTTTAGTCTCGTCATTCTTTCATTTTTGTCATTCTTTCATTCTCGTCATTCTTTCATTATTTTTTACTTTAATTTTTTCATTATTTAATTCTTTCATTCTCGTCATTCTTTCATTCTTTTATTTTTTCATTGAATCGGTAAGATAAATTATTTCATAAAAACAGTTTTATAGTTCAAAATATTTTTAGTATAAAAATAAGTTAAGTGAAGAATTGGGTAGTAAAAATTTTTTTCTGCATGTTAATTAATGCAAACAATATCCATATTTTTGTATGTCAAAAAATTTAAAATTAATAATTCCAGTTCTCTTTTTTGCAGTTGTACCATTTTGTTTCTTACCCCTTCATATATATTTATAAAATATAAAAACCATATTTTGTAAAATGATATATATCTTCTTCCAAAAATTCATTTTAAACTTATAAATTGATTTTAGCAATTTATCAAAATAAAACTTTTGGACTTGGACTGTTTTTAATCTCACTGTTTTTAATCTCAATCTTTCGATCTTTTAAATTTTATTCTTTTGTTTATTCATTCATTCATTCATATTTTCATTCTTTTATTGTTTCATTCATTTATTCTTTAAATTTTTCATTCTTTCATTTTACCATTTTTTTATTTTCTCATTATTTTATTCTTTCATTACATCATTCTTTCACTCTTTCAATTAATTATTCTTTAATTTTTTTTACTTTTAATATTTCATTCTTTAATTTTTTCATTATTTCAATCTTTCATTCATTTATTCTTTAATTTTTTCACTCTTTAATTTTTTTACTCTTTCAATTTTTAATTTTTTCATTATTTTAGACTTTGATTCTTTGATTCTTTTATTATTTCCTTCTTTAATTTTTTAATCCCTTATTCTTTTAATATTTTACTCTTTCACTCTTTAAATTTTTCACCCTATTATTCTATTATATTTAATTTAATTTCTATTTTTTTATTTTATTTAATCTTTTATTATTTCACTCATTTCATCTTTCATTTTTTTTATTCTCTTACTTTGTCAATTTTTTATTATTTTATTTTTTCATTTATTATTTTTTTCACTTTTTAACCCATTAATTATTTTATTCTTTAATTTAATTCTGTAATTTTTTCATTATTTCATTATTTTAATCTTTCATTCTTTCAATTTTTCATAATTTCACTGTTTGATTCTTTTGTTCTTTCCTTCTTTAATATTTTCATTCCTTCATTATTTTAATATTTTACTCATTCAAAATTTTATCTTTCACTCTTTCAGTTTATCATTTCTTTATTTTTTTATTTTTTTTATTTTTCATTCTTTTATTATTTTAATCTTTTAATATTTCACTTCTTTCATCTTTCATTCTTTAACCCTTTTAATTTTGTATTCTTTAATTTTTTCACTCTTTTAATTTTTCATTCTTTAATTTTTTCATTATTTCATTCTTTTCGTGTTCCTTTCATTTTTTTATTGTAAAAAAAAATTGAATTTTTATTGGAAAATATAGTCAAAAAAATTTCTATAAAACCTTTTAGGTTGTCAAAACCCACATAAAGTGTTTCATTTACATTTTGATAAAAGCGTATTGTAGAAAATTTCCAAAACAATTATGGTTAGATTTATTATTAGTTTATCAATTAAATCTCTTGAAACTCGTTTCTAATCCAAAATACATTAACCAAGCTCTAAAACCCACTAACCTTATATTAGACTCCTGTATCTTCACGATTGGCTCGATGTACCTGGTATTCGAGTCGATAAGAGCAGTACTGCCACCGTTAGGATTGTACAACCCGCTCCTGGACCTGGGCGCTTCATTGGTGGGCACGTTCTCGTAATTGGGCATCTGCAGCCCAACCGACGCCATGTTGGAGTCGCCCATCGGCCCCTTTTGGTGCGTCATACGCAAGGGGGCGTCCTCGTCGTCGCTAGACTCGGAATTGTTGCCCCCCGAGTTGCTGTTCACCTGTTGCTGGATCCTGGCTACGAGTTCCTTCACCGAGGGTCTGGAGTCTGCGTCTGCGATCACGGGGTCAAGCTCGTCCATACTCCTGAGTAAAAAACTATGTTAGACATTGATTTGTTTAAAGTACTTTTCGCCAACGATCATGGCATCTTCAGAAGGGAAGTGTAACCATGTTTTTAGGCACTTTGTGTTTTGTTTTGGTGCTGGGAATATTCCTAATATTTCTTTAACATATCGTCAAAGTTGTCCTTTTTCAAGTATTGTTTAGTTTAGTTATAATACAGTGTGTATTAAAACGAATAGATACACTTAAATAAAACAAGTGCCAAACCCCGCCCACTGTGGTAGGGATTGAATCTTTAATACACAGGCTAGGGTATTGTTTAACTGCTGCTGGTGGTCTATTTGAACATTTAATTTAGAAAAAAAGTTATTTTCGTTATTTTAGAATTATTTTTGTTTGAGAATTTATAGGTTTTATTTTTATCGAATTCGTTTGTTTTGTTTTAATGCATTTCTGTAAATAAAAACTAAGTATTGTTTAAAATCCATTAAATTCCAGTTAATGGCGAAAATGTATTTCTTAAAAACTATACACATTTCCCTACGACAGCCTCGGAGCTACTGAACAAACAAACTGCATGCCCTTGTATCTGGCTGCATGCCGCGCTGTTTCCATATGCTATTATTGTTTCCTAAAAGGGTTGTTTTTCTTATTTTTTAATATTAAAAGTAAGACAGTTAATTAAATCAATTAATTTTTTTGTTAGTTTCAAACAAATAAAATTGAACTATTTATTAAATAATTATAATCGTTCTCTTCTGATTTAAAACAACCTGGCAACTATGGTTCGTAATTACGAATGGCTTGGTTTAAACTACGCCCAATTAAAGTTTGTTTCTTTTTCTCTGATCAGAATATAATTTGTCATCCTTGTCTCCAGCCTTACTTACTTGATTCTATACAGTCTGTATAATGGTTTTACCTTGTAGTTTGTAGGGGGGCGATTTCAATGTTGTCCAGCATCTCCAGGCTTCTGCTACGCACCAAATTGGGCTCAATTTCCCTGGACGTTGTGGGTTGAACTCTTTCCGACCGTCTAGCGTGCGAACCGCGGTTTAACTTTTGCTCTAAACCTGCCACGCGCTGTCCTAAACGCACTTGCGCTCTTTGTAACTCTTTCTTGTCCTTTTCGAGCTTGGCCTCGATGTGCCTGAACAGCGGTGCGCAGTAGCAGGTGTAGCCCACACCCACAGGGCCTTTGCAAATGTTGCCGGCCAAGTCTAGGTAGTACTGTTCGCCTTTTTTCAAAGGCTCGTGAGGTAGGGAGTCTAATCTAGGCGAAGGAAAGGCTTCTGGGTCGGGGTAGTAGTGGCATCCGTAAGGAGACCAGTTTTTGGGTTTTTCGGGGCTATCTACAACGTCTGGAAAGAAATTATTATTATTTATTATATAAAATGATGTATACATTGACTCATTATATATAATGAGTCAATCCAAATGAAAACACCAAATATAAATTTAAAAGTGCGCTGCTTTTTATTTTAATGAAAAAATTTGAGGATGATCTTTTAGGTATCATATATGAAAAACCGTTGCCGTTTTAATTTTAAGTTGCTTTATTTTTAATCGGCACCCTTTAGAAACCTGAAATCGTGTCATTTTCTTACTCTCTTATAAGAGGCTAAAACTTTTTTTCTGTGGCAATTATTGAAATTAGTTCATCTCATAAAAGAATGGTAAACCACTAAAGATTCGTAATAATTTGCCAATTTTTGTGATTTTTGTCTGGCCCCTGTGCCTATTCTGCTAAATCTAGAAAGTTGCTTTTTTCAGGTATCAAGTACTTATACAATAGAAAACGTAACTATTATTTTAAGTTTCTAGACTATTAGTTTCTTTATTAAAAAAAATATTGAAAATTGATAATTTTCAAAATTAGCCAATTTCGCCCTCAGAAATCATTATGTTGAGGAAAAAATGAAAATCTGAAACTTTCAGGAAATGTAGTCCCAACCTTCATCTTTTCAGTCTAGTTAGTCTTGTTTTGTTATTTTTATCCATGTAAAAGATATAATAATTTTTTTAATGCAGTTAAGAAGCGATATTGTTAGTTTTATTTATAATTTAAAATTTAGATGGCTTTGACTTAGTCGATTCATGTTTGGTAGAGAAATGTCAGAACTGTCAAAAATATTTCATAAATATTATTTGTGCCTATTTAAATTGTGATTTTAAAAAGTTTGCAAGTTTGCAAGTGTTATAAATGACGGAGTGTTCGAGATTCGTGAATTTAATTGCAATTAAAAATGCAAGAACGTATCATAATTTTGTACCTCTTTTTCATAGAAAATATTCAAGTTTTCAGAAGTTTTAAATTGTTAAAAATAAGCAAAAACCAAAAAATATTCTAAATTAACCAGTTATCTAAAAACTAAAATTTAAAAAAGTATTTACAGATTGTGTGATTTTTTTTCCAACACTAACATTTAAAATACATGTATGCATACATATAACTATTAACTATTCAGTGCCTTACTAAAGAGATCAAAATAATAGAACAAGACTAACTTGGTTTAAATTGTGAAAGAAACCGACAAAAAACTGCTTAACGCATTTTTTATACGTTTAAATTAACTCTATTAATTTCACATCTGTCAAAAATATTCCATAATTATTATTTGTGGTAGGTATTCCTTTGATGATTTTAAAAAGTTTTGTATATAACATAATATGACATATTATTTTATATACAAATTTACCAAAGAAATACGCACAAATATTATTTATGAAATACTTTTGACAGTTCTAACACTTCTCCACCAAACATGAAAGCCATCTAAATTTTAAATTATAAATAAAACTAACAATATCGCTACTAAACGGGCATTAAAAAAATTAATATATCTTTTAAAGGAATTAAAATAACAAAACAAGACTAACTGGACTGAAAAGATAAAGGTGGGGACTACATTTCCTGAAAATTTCAGATTTTTTTCCTCAACATAATGATATCTGAGGGCAAAATTGACTAATTTTAAGTTTCAATAATTTTTTTAATGAAGAAAATGACAGAATAGAAACTTAAAATAATTAGTTAAGTTTTCTATTATATAAGTACTTAATACCTGAAAAAAAAAACTTTCTAGATTTAGTAGAATAGGCACAGGAGCCAGACAAAAATCACAAAAATTGGCAAATTATCATGAATCTTTAGTGGTTTACCATTCTTTTATGAGATTAACTAATTGGATAATAATAATTTATATCGAAAACACACTTACTGAACAGTAAAACCAAATTAAAATCATTTCGATATTAGTCACAGAAAAAAAGTTCTGGCCCACTATAAGAGAGTAAGAAATTGACACGATTTCAGATTTCTAAAGGGTGCCGATTAAAAGTAAAGAATCCAAAAATTAAAACAACAACGCACCCCATTTGGTGTTTTTATTTGGAATGACTCTAATACCAACCTTTTCCTTCGAATCTAACTTTGCTTTTGGACCTCTTCTTGGCTGCTTTCTGTAACTTTTTATCCTTCTTCGGGACTATATCCTCCAATATGGGCACTATCTCGCGCAAGTCTTTCCTCAAGGCTATGTCCCTGGCAGTTTCACATTGCTTGTTCCTCACACTCCTCTCGCAACCCGCTTCCAACAAAATCCTGGTCAGCTTTCTGCGTCCCATAGCCGCCGCAATATGCAGGGCAGTGTCGCCATTTTTATTCTGCTCGCTGACCTTGCACTGCGCAGAAATCAAAATCCTGGTGACACCCGCATGCCCGTACCTCGCAGCCGTGTGCAACGCCGTGTCGCCGTAATTATTCTGCGTGTCCGGATTGCCACCTGCCAAAAGCAACTCGCGGCAACACTGGTTGTGGCCGTTCTGGCAACACAGGTGCAACGCTGTGAATCCCCCGGCGTTTACGACGGACAACTTGGCGCCCGACGCCGCCAAGATGCGCAGACTTCGGCTGTAACCTTTCCACGCAGCTTCGTGTAATGCGCTGTTGCCATGCTGCAAGAGAATGTTGCCAAATTTAGTACATTTTATTGGTACTATGCTCCACACCTCGAAGTCCCACCACGTGACCACGTACGGAACGAAGTCTTTTGAAAATTGGCATTTAATGCTTTTCAGGTTATGTATCTGTCAAAGTATAGTCAACGAAAGAAATAATATTATGTTTAGGCGTTAAAAATGTATAAATCTTTATAACATTACAATAACAATGGATGGTTTAAGAATTTGAGAATATAAATACTGCATTTAATGAAATTCTAAAAGTGTATGGTGCCAAATAAGTAATATTTTTGTGCATTTGGTCCAAATATCTGGTTTTCTCCGTAAAATAATTTTAACTAAACAGCATTTATTTCAAAAAATCTAGCTTCTCTATTATGGAATAAGAATATCTGTATTAAAGGTAGGTTAATATATTATAACAAAAATATCATCTAATTTTGTAATTTTAAGGTTAGAAAAATTTATTTTGACCAAAATAAATAAGTATTTTGGATTATTTAAAAGACTGTATAATATGGTATTTAAAAATGTGGCAGTTCTTCTTATCCAGCTTAAAGTGTACCTACATAAAGTTTTGTCAATACAAATAGTTAAAGCTTCGACTGAATTTGATCTACATGGAAAAATCATTATAACTTTAAAAATTTAAAAAATCACATGTCATGGAAGTATTAAATATTTTCACATTGCAAGTGTCTTTAAAAATTAACTTAAAGTAGGTATGCCGAGAGGTATGCACAAGTTTTGTCATTAGTAGTATAAAAGCTTTAATTTAATTTGAACCATATTCAACAATTATTTAGTATACCTATATTTATTTATGACCATATTAACACACTCTTCCAAATAATCCACTTATTTATTTTGGTCAAAATAGATTTTTCTAACATTAAAATACAAAATTAGATGATATTTTTTGTTCTAATACATTAACCTACCTTTGATACAGATATTCTTATTTCATAATAGAAAAGTCAGATTTTTTTTAATAAATGCTGTTTAGTTAAAACTATTTTATGGAGAAATGTAGACCCAATGCACAAAAATATCACTTATATTGCACCCTACACTTTGGAATTTCATTAAATGCAGTATTTATATTCCTAAATTCTTAAACCAACCTTTGTTATTGTGATACTATAAAGATTTATTAACTTATTAACTATACTTTGACAGATACATAACCTGAAAAGCCTTAAATGCCAAATTTTCAAAAGACTGCGTTCCGTACGTGGTCATGTGGTGGGACTTTGAGTTGTGGAGCATAGTACAATATAGTATATATTTAAGTTCAAAAAAGGTACATTATTTTAACGTTTGTATGACATTTGAACTGTCAACTAACTTATAAAACTAACTTCAGCCCTTGTCTAGAGCGCCATAAAGCCACATCTTATCAAAGTGGCATGTAAACATTTACAATAATGGTAGTAGAAAAAATTCTTTATATAGTTATCAGAGCTGCACAGACGGTGGTGAGATATAAATATATTTTAAGTAACGAATTATTTTTTGGTATAATTTTACAATAAAAAGCACTGTTTATAAAATTTCTATTGTTTTTAGTTTGTTTACATATCATGGTGTTTATTTTTATGTTAAAATTTATTAAAATATTGCATTATTTTTGGGAAGTTACATATTCTATTAAAAGCTTCTGATTTGAAGCCAAATTTCATTAATAAATTAGCAAATTAAACAAAGAAAATTTGCTATTTCACGGGATATTAAATGTTTTATCCATAATTTATCGTTTCTTTTATAAACAAATGTAGAAAATTCATTTGATATGCTAATATTTTTGGACAAAACACTTGACACATTCTATGCAAATATTTAGGATTTGGAATAGTGGAGTATGGATTTAAATATAAATAGCAAATTTAAATATTTAATAATAATAAAACACGAGAAAAATATCTTAATACTGTTATTTATGTCTTTATAGAATAATTTATAGTGCATATGTTAATGTTAATTGGCCATTTTATATTGGTTTATACACATAATATAAATCTATATTTAGTTTGTTGCATATGTTTAATACTTTATATCAAAAGCATGAACTTTACATTGTGTTATTAAATTTTGTTTGGTACGTAAAATTTTATCGTTCAAATAAAAACAAATACCTACTTAAAGACTTTTTTGTCAAAATAATATTATGTAAAATTACAAACAAGTTTAATAGTAGCCAACTGGAAAAGTTACTTCTGAAAAGTATCTAGTTACTTTTCTAAGATACTTTAAACAAAATAAAAGTATCTTTAGTTACAAGATACTTTAAAAAGTATATAGTAACTATATACTTTCATATAGTAACTGTATGAAAGTATCTAAGATACTTTTGAGTAACTAAGATACTTTACCGAGTAACTTAGATACTTTTTTAGATACAAGTTACAAGATACTTCCAGCTCTGACTTCTATTAAGAACCATCTACACATTTCCCGGCCATAATATGATTTAAATTATATAATACAAACAACATATGATACAAAGTTTCTGTACCATTGACACATTATTAAGACGATACCATAAAATAAACAACATACTCATGTTAACACAGGCATATTATATTAAATCTAGATCCCATTTTAAAAACAGGTTTTCTGTTTGAAGATAAACGTTTCCAAGGCATTCTTAAGCCGAAAAAAAAGTAATTTAAATATTTCAGATAGGAATTAACTTGTATCAATAATTGGTAGGCTCATATTTGCCACTGGTTAATTGATTAAGTTATTTATATGGTAATTATATATATTTTAATTTATTACTTAGTATCAAATTTCATTTTTAAAAATTATCTTACTTGATTTATTCGTTATTTAATGAGGTATTTAAAGATATCTTAATACGTTTTTTAACATTAATTTTTAGGTACCTATGTTACGGTTCTATGGGCTATGTATTATTTTTTATTCAGGAATTATTCTTATGTGTAATGTTTTCAATTAGATAAAAAATATCAAATAAGAGTTTTTATTCTACGAATTAGAAATATCATTTAATTTTTATGCCAAACTGATATTTTTAGTTTAGTGAATTTAAAATATATGTTTCTTATATTTTTATTTATATGTAAATATTGTTTTGTAAAGTCTCTGTTTTCACCACATATCGAGTTTTGTTCGACAGTCCTTTTTAACCAAAACCAAAGTGAACTATCTAAACTACAAATAATTCAAAATAGAGCATTACGTACTATATTAAAATGTGTTAAACAAAAAATATCTTATAAAGCTTTAGATATAATTTTTAAAATTAAACATAAATTAGTACCTGAATAATTTTATTGTGATGTGTTATTTAAACACAGTTCATATGTATGAAACAAGACAAAACAAAGAACTTTTCATTAAAAAGTGTGAAAAAAGTATGATAAAAGTGTGATAATTATAATAGCTTTAAGAAAATGTTGAGCAATTATGTAAAAAATATATATTAGTAGTAAACAAATTTTTATAAATATCATGGTTAAATAAACTATATTTTATTTTTATTTTTTATTTATTTTTATTTTGCTAAATTAAAAATATCATAGGAGAAACTTTTAAATGATTAAAAATATCATAGGAGATTTTTAATTCAATTTATTTTTTAATTTTTGAAATACGCAGAAAATTTTAAATGAATGTGACATTTTTAATTCAGATTGAACGTTTGGACACCCCTGGCATTTCAAACTAATTCTGTCGCTAGATGGCGGCACAATCACTGGGATATACGATAATATAATAATTCGCAGAATAAAAATTCTTGTGTGATATTTTTATCTAATTGAAAATTTTATTTTAGTGTTAACAAATAACTAATGAATAAAAAATAAAATGGCGCCCAGCATTTTTGAAGGCAACATCTTTTAATTAAAAAAAAATAAAACTGAAACAAAACGCGGTCTATAATTTAAACTTTATTGTTGTCAACATTCCATAAAGAAATACCTTGTTATGGCCTAGGCCGATAAAAAAATTTTATGAGGCAAGTAATTAGTTCGATTTTTTTTCGCTAGGGGTATTGTTTTGACAAATTAATCCTTTTCTAAGAAATTAACGTACTAAACTGGTTTAATTTATTTATAATAAGCACTAATTTGTTTGTTTTACTGTTAATGTTTAATATTTTTCATTAAATTATTGTAAAATTAAATATGAATAATAAAACAAAAAGTGTGGTTAGGCAACCAAGAAAACGCACGATTCTTTTTCTACGATATAAATTATCTTTAAGTTTTAATTTGCTTTAAGTTTTCAGTGAAATTAAATGTTAAACACAGCTTTAACATTCCAATTTTTTTAAATAAAAATCCAAACAAATTGAAATTAGATACCTACCTATTTATTAAACAATTAATTAAATTCAATGTAATAGCAAAAATCCATTTCTACTTAAATCATGTAGCTAGGTATTGTCAAACTATTACTGCTTCAAAAAGCAATAATAATTATTGTGCATTTAATGTAATCTTTAGCTAATAAATAAATGAGATTCTAAAAAAGTGAGAAAATTAAATATGAATAATAAAACAAAAAGTGAGGTTAGGCAACCAAGAAAACGCACGATTCTTTTTCTACGATATAAATTATGTTTAAGTTTTAATTTGCTTTAAGGTTTCAGTGAAATTAAATGTTAAACACAGCTTAAACATTCCAAACTACCTATTTTTTTAAATAAAAATCCAAACAAATTGAAATTAGATACCTACCTATTTATTAAACAATTAATTGAATTCAATGTAATAGCAAAAATCCATTTCTATTCAATTAAATCATGTTGCTAGGTATTGTCAAACTATTACTGCTTCAAAAAGCAATAATAATTATTGTGCATTTAATGTAATCTTTAGCTAATAAATAAATGAGATTCTAAAAAAATGAGGTTAGGCCGCTTTGATGTTGAATTAAATTGACCTATATAAAGTGCTTTGAAAATAAAACCCTGATAGCACAGTTTATTCTAAGAATGTTTTTTAAACCTTCCAGTGAGAATATTCTTAGGATCATGCTATATTTCTTCTAAAGAACATGCTTAAAAGAAATATAGCATAATCCTAAGAATATTCTCACTGGCCTCATAGGCAGGTTTTTAGAAGGTGCAAAGTTTAGTGGTAAAAATTAATCCACTCTAAACATAATAAGCATATTATGCTTAGAATGTTGAGAAAGTAATTGCTATAGAAAGTTCATTTAGGAATATTCCTGGAACATTCTATTAAGCATATTCAGTTCAGTTAGGTACCTATATAATAGTAAAATATACCATAATCTACGTATAAAGGTACCTATACTTAGTATTAAATACTAAGTAAAAAACACAACCCAAAATATTTTTTTATAGTTATTTGTCAAATTAAAACAATATTCGATAACAAAAATACTTTTACTATAGGTATCTAAATTATCCGGCTTTTACATAAAATCTTCTATCCAACTTAAATACAATGAAAAATGTTTTTTTATGAAGAACTATTTTATAAGGAAATATTTTGTTTTTTTATATTTTATTTTATGTTAAAAATAAATATTTATTAATTTGTATACCGATTTATTATTTCTGAATTTACATTTTTATGTATAATAATCCTAACTATCTTCAACTTCAATCTAATTTGACTTATCCCACAAAATTTTCCAATTTTACTTTTTATAAAATAATGTCATATATGACTTATGGTTTAGTTTATATTTTTAAATAAATATATGTATATTAATATGTCGAAAATTTTTTTAAGGGGACGACAAATACATTTCACTGTCATATTATGACAGTGAGGCGTATTTGTCGCCTCCTGAAGAATTTTACGAATGTAGAATCCAACATATTAGAACGTGGGTATCTGACATTTGGGAATATTCTCAAAAGCTTCCTAGAAGCTCCATAAGAAACCTTCTAAGAACATTCCAAAAACGTATTCTTAAAATGTTCTTAGAATGCTTTTTAGGAAGGTTTAAGGAGCTTCTAAGAATCTAATTGCATCATTAAACGGGTATCTATTGAATGTTTTAAAAGTCCCTATGAACATTCTTAGCAATAAGGGAAAGTTCTAAGAATATTCCATTATTCCGGGTCATATCTTCTTAGAAGATTCTTAGAATCAAATTTTGCTATCAGGGAAGTGCCTTTTTGAGCTTCGCTCAATTGTAGGTCTTCGCTACGCGTCGGCATTCAAACCTTGAGCTTAGCACAAACTATTACTCACCAGCGTGTCTTGCTTGTCGACGTCCGCCCCCCTGGCCAGCAGCAGCCGCACCACCTCCTCGTGTCCGTCAGCCGCCGCCCTCTGCAGCGCCGTGCAGCCCGCCCCGTCCGGTCCGTCCACCTCCCTGGGGGCGGCGGCGTCCAGCAGCAGCCGCACCACCGCCACGCGGCCGCCGCCCGCCGCCAGATGAAGGGCGGTGCGTCCGTGTTCGTCGCGCGAGAAGCGGGCGCATTTCGCCGCCCCCAGCAGGCGCTGGCACGTGGCGAGGTCGCCGGCGGCGGCGGCCGACCGTAGCGCCGCCGCTGCACCGCCAACGGCCGCGACGGTGCTGCCCCCGCTCATCCGGAGCCATTAGACATATTAACTGAAACAAAACAAATAAACTGTTATTCGACTATTGTGATAATCGGAGCTGGGAAAGGTACTTCTGAAAAGTATCTAAATAGTTACTTTTCTAAGATACTTTAAACAAAATAACTTAGTTACCTCGGGTAACTAGATACTTTGAGTTAAAAGTATCTTTAGTTACTTTAGAAAGTATCTAAAATACTATATGAAAGATACTTTTGAGTAACTAGGATACTTTTAAGTAACTAAGATACTTTTAAAAAGTATACTAAGATATATCTTAGTTACTTTAAAAAGTATCTTAGTTTCTTTAAAGTATCTAAGTTATTTGAATGTATCTTAGTTACTTTACCGAGTAACTTAGATACTTTTTAGATACAAGTTACAAGATGATTTTCTAAAGTAACTATTAGTTACTAACTAAGTTAAGGATACCTTCTGTCCAATATAAAAAGCAGTGATAAAAAGTATCAAAGATAAAGTATCTTACTCTCTAAAAATGAATTATTCAAAAATGACTTATAACTATAGTTATTAGTGGCTGCTTTTTCACTTATACAATGGGATAGCATGTTATCCCCGATATAATATCCAATTCTTATGTAAAATTGTCCCCTGAATCCGAAAATACTGTCAATAATTATAAAAGTAGAGCAGTTTTTGAGATATAGGTAGTCAATTCCATATTATATGGAAAACTGAAGTAAGTGTTGTAGTAGTACTGATAATTTTATTGTACCAAATTTCTTTATAATTTGATGATGATAATGGTGTGTTATTTAATTGTGTGTATGTTATTTTAGTGTTAATATGTAGGTATGTGTAAATTTTTTTGTTTAGAAAATAATTTATAAAGCAATATTTCTTATTAAAATTCTTTTCATTTGATTTCCCAATTTCCAACAGATACTTTTTTTACTGTGTCTACAAAAAGGTTTGCAAAAATAAATTCTTTTTAAAAATTACAAAAATTATGGTTGAATTATTGATATAGGATTTTGTTATTAAATCTTCAAAATGTTTTTTATAATTACTTATTATATATTTGGTTAAAATTAACAAATATTTTTTTACTGTATAAATTTTTTTTACCGTACTATTGAAGATTTTGTGTATAAAATTAACATGTATGTATCTTCTTGACAAAAGCCAGCACAAAACTAAACCCAGCAAATTTATTTCGAGCATTTTTAAATCGAACCAATTATATTAAAGTTAACAAGATGTCTCAAACAAATCATGACATCTTTTAAAGTTGTTAACACCCAACAAATGAGGCGTTTTTGAGCCAAATTAACACATATTTCGTGAAAAACAATGTATTTTATATGTCCAATTAAATTCTAGTGGATTCCACCGCGAAATACTTTTTGTTGCAAAAATGGCGGATGCGCCGGTTTTTATTTTATTTTATTATTTTATTTCAATTCTTAAAAACAAATCAGAAGAACTCTTTAGAGAATAGTTTTAACCCTTTAAAAAATAATTTTATGGAACATGCTTTTTATTTTATTGGTAGAAAACTTTAAATGTTGCACCCACAAAAATTATTTGAAATTTCTTAAAATTTTCCAGTAGTTATACAAAAAATTGTTGGTTTATTAAATTGTAACATTCTTTTTGTTCAATTGCACAGATAAATCGCGCACGTTATTTGTGTTTTATGTTTCAAGGAAAAAATTAAAAAACTTTTTTAGTACTCGATTTCGATTGATTATTCCTTATATCATTGATTAAGAAACTCAACGCTTAAATGCTTATATAGTTACGTCAGTGTGTGTATTTTATCTAAGGGATCATGGAGAATTATTGCGTTTTTAATTGTAAATAAAATTCAAGAACTAAATCGTTGCATTTTCATGTTTTGCCAAAGGAACCAATTCGGTAAGTACATTTGTGGGTGCAGAATTAACTAATGATAACTTTACCTAATATAATTTATATTTAAGTTTGGACATTTTTAAGAAATTAGTAAAAAATAATGTTTGCACAAACATAACCTTAAAATCAACCATTTTTATGTTTGAGTTCTCTAAAAAACGCCGACAACTGCATTTTAAACAACAAATTATACCTACGAATTTATGGCAACATAATATTATATATAATACATAATATAATGGTATTTTACCGTTGAGTGGAGACTTTCTTAATCAACTCTTTTAATAATGCTAAATGCTGTTTAAATTTAGACGACTTATTTGTTTGACGATTTTTACTGAATTGAAATGTTTACACTATTCACGTTAATCACTACTTAAATGTGTATTTATTGTATCTAATAGGTACAATTTAAATTTACAGAGACTGTATGCAATTTATTTCTTCATTCAGATTAACACTGTTTATTGGAAAACCGGTAAAAACTCAACCCAGGATTTCCTCTCGAAATACACCCAACAACACAACAAATCGAGCCACGGTTTTTTTTCCGATATTTTTTTAACACTTTCCGGCTTATATAATATATATTATGAAAATACATAAAATACTCTTAGATGTAGAGCATTGTTTCCGGATGTAAAATTTCAAAAAACCTCAATATAATTTTTTTGATACAACAGTCTGGTCAATTTACAAATGTTAAAATTGAAATGATGCTAACCAGGTGGCAAGAAATGAGCAGACAAAAAACGAACGATTTTGAAGCAATTATCTAGCCATATATTTTAAATTACAACTTACAACTTGCTAGTCTCAAACTTATAATTAATGTTTTTTATCAGTTGACTACGGCTATGAATAACTTACCACGCCCAGGCTATTAATGTTTTAGTTACAATGTAAGGAAAAAGACGGTGAAGATCGACTTAATTGTTTTATTAGTAATTTTTTGCTTTATCAATATATTGTATACGCTGGGAAAAAATTATGACCTAAAATATGCCCGCTTTCAAATACCAAAGTTCAGTGAATTTTACAAGAAAATATTTCAAAACTAAGAGGAAGCAACATTTTTAGTTTTATTATGGCTTTTAAGAACGCTTTAAAACTAAAAACTACTACAACTCTTATAAACCTCTTATAAACTATTAAGGTTCTGCTACATTAAAACCTAAAAGTATTTTAAAAAGTCAACTCTTTAAGATATCTTAAAGTGTACTTAAAAGACTGTTTAAGCCCACAACAAAACCAATGTTCTTAAAAACTATTTGTTCCAAAATGGATTGTTTTAAAACCTACTTGCTATTTAATCCTTTAAAAAGCCAAATAAGTTTTAAATTGGCCAATGTCGAGAGTATTATAAAACCAGTTTAAAATAAATAGGGCATTAAGTGCAAATAGTTTTTTGCAAAGCCTTTAAGATAGCTATAAAACCTTTTTAACTATCTTTTACAATAGTATACTGGGCAATTATGATAATCTTTTTAAGACAATTTGCATTATTTTTGTCATAATAAAACCTTTTTAAAACCAGTGAGCAATTAAATGATTTTACAAATAACTCTATTGTATTTAGATATGTCGCAGATATTATTTATAAACTTATTTTTCTAAATTACATGCCAAGACAAAAGGTTTTCGGTGTTCTATTGTAATAATTTTGGCAGTGCATTATTTATAAAATATAAATGTGGAGACGTTTGGGCTAAAAGCAATAAATATCACGGTAGTTTAGACATTTCCAGTGCCAAAATATAAAATTATTTTAATTTATAGTGTTGCAGATTTAATTTAAGTTATAAAGAAGAAGAAAAATACTCAATTAATTTTGATGTATGTAAGGATACATAAATCTCAGGAAGCTATGGAATTAAGTTGTTATGGAAAATGGTTCTAACGGTTAACGACAATTCCACCAAGACATTTGATCGCACTCGTGATAATATCAGGTTTATATGATTTTCTATGGTTTATACGAGGTGTCCTGAAAAAGGCCACTTATTATTATGAAAATAATTTAATGCCATATTGCTCTTATACTGGTTTTATAATACTCTCGACATTGGCTATTACAAAACTAATAGGATTAAACAGCAAGTTGGTTTTATTAAAACTAATTTTACCCCCTTCCTTTTTGGCTAGAAGCTTCTTTATGATAGAACATTGTCTATGTAGTTCATAATACCAAAAAAAAGTTACATGCACTGTTAAAATTTTTTGAAAAATTACTACATTCTTACTAAGAAGTTGCATAGTAGAAAATATACACAACATTATTTATTTTATACAACTTCTGTTTGCATTTAAACTATATATCATTTTAATCATGTAGTGTTAAAATTTTTTGTAAAATTATAATTGTTTTGCAAAACAAAGGATGAGTAAAATTACAAATCAGTGTATACCAATACAAAATTATAATACAATTTGAGTAATCTTCCAAAACAAGTTGGGAAATCTACAAAGATAAGTTGTAATTTTACATTCTATATGTATAAATCCTACACGTATTGTAATTTTACTAAACAGTTTGACAGTTTCTAATAAAAAGCATTTCAGATTTACAAATGTTGTTTGTAATTTTATTTGCTATAATGTTATGTAAAATGCATAGTTTGTACCGATTGCGGCAATCACGTGATATTCTTACATCTCGCCTCGGTTGACTTAGGTGGACAGTATATAAGCTCAGGTGTCTTTCGTTTTTGGTGTGTTCCAATACACCAAATTGCCCGACATTGATAAGACCCAAAATAGGTCTATCTGTCTATAGACAGATATAGTCTATATATAGACTATAGCTGTCTGTCGGTATTTCAAGTTGGTGGAACGCACTTAAAACAAAAACTCTGGCGAGGTGAAGGTTCAATTTTTTTTTATCTTTACAGTAATGGGTCGAGAAATTTTTTTGAAGAAACTAAGAAAATTGCAGGTGTTTTTTCGTTGTATTATTACAATACCATCATTCGTAATTACTAAATATTTTTAGTGTAATTTGTTGTATAAAATAACAATATTTGTATAATATATATATATTATATATATATGTATAATATAATATTATAATATTGCGAAACGAATTTTCTTCAGTTCAGTAAAATTGTAAAATA